GAGAGAAGAAGGGGGGGGGGGGGGGGGGGGTCAAATAAAGGACAAGTGATCTCACTACATTAATTTGCAACTTCTAATGAAAACGGTTGGTATTCTGAAACTAAAGATTACAACAAAAGATCATCTCAAAGCAACACAGCTTGTTTAAAAACTAGGGCAACAAAGTGTGAGTGTTGTGGAGGAAGGGCATCAAACAAGGAAATATTTGTTTAACGGGCTACAGCCGGGTAAAGGGACTAAGATGTAAACAGTCTTACCTAAAGCTTCCAGGTACGCGTCCATATTCTCCTGCTCCACCATATAAAACGTGCCGGTGTAATTGGGTTTAGACATTGTGTCCTTTTGTTCCTTCCAAGGTTCCAGACGACCTGATATCTCTGCTTTCCTTTCTTCGGAATCCCCCAGACCAGCCGCCGCCTTGTTGGATATCACTTTCACTGTGGCAACTTTTTGAACAAAGCCTGGATTGAAACCCCGCTGCCCCACAGTGTAAGTATACTGGAAACTGGTGGTGAAGACTCGGGCTGGAGTTTGAATTAGTTTCTAAACGAATTTTTGTGCTGTGTCGCTGTTTGGGGGAGGTTCCTTCATCTTTAGCAGGCGGAGCCGGTGTTTCGCATCCCTGCCGCTTGCTGACCGGTCACACGCCCAGGGGCCAAAACTGGCAGTGGGCCACTCGCCTGCGAAACATCCCAGGCAGACCAAAAAAAAAAAAAAAAACACAGTGATGCAAAAAAGACTGTAAAGAAATGCAAGACCACTGCAGGAGAGATATCCTCAAAGATACAGGAAATGTCCACCAAGGGACGCTAAACAACTTCAAGGCGATGATGACCACAAAGTAAACAGTTAGTTAGGAGCTTTAAGTAGATCTAAAGTTATGTTTTACAAAGGGTTGTTTCAGATGTTTAATTTAAATGATCCTGAAAGTAACTATACAGCTCATAATTTGTTTTCACAGCAAATTCATTTATTGATCCCAATTCATTCTTCTATCCAATCACCCCAACCGGTCAAGGCAGAAGGCCGCCCAGAATCTAATTCAGAACACAACACTGGGACCTGACTGGAACCTAAAGTGACTAACATATACTTTAATACAGTAGAAAACAACAAAAATGCTTTTTTTGTTATGCTATTTTTATTATTTATTCCCAGTCTGAAAGCAAAATAAGAAAAAAAAAAAACATTAACCAAGAAATATGAAACATGGCAGACTAACAGTTGATACTCTTGTCGAAATGCATTGGCAAAAATCCGGAAGAAAATACTCCATTTTACTGTTGCCAAACCCCGTGCGTCATCTAGTCTCAGCCTACATGTGCTTCAGGGTTTTAGATAATAAGAAAGAGAACAAAGAATCATTAACCATTTAAAAGTTTTACTAGGTATGCCAAAATAACTGACTTCTAAAGTGTCTTGAAGTATGACTCAATGTAAAACAAAAAATAATGGATGTTTGTTTTTTTATTGGTGGTTTAGTGGTACATACTTATAAAGTACATAATAAACAGAAGATTAACATAAGCATGAAAAATATCTAATAACTCTGTTATCAGTTTCTGAATGTGAGCTGAAAACACGTTACTATCGAATGCTAAATTTTAAACAAGCCTACACTCCTTTCCTATGGATTAGGGCTCGTGTAAAAAATAGTGTTTGAGTTCTGACTTTTTCATCAGAATTCTGACTTTAAAGCTGTCTTTTAAAAAAGAATTCTGAGAAAAAAGTCAGAACTAAATTTTTTTTACACTGGCCCTAATCCTCTTCCATAATGTCATGCTCTTGATGCTCAAATAACTGAAATAAAAACCACGTTTACACAAAGTTTTCACATTGCCTTTATTTTAAAGCTGCACTAACTAATACTGAGCACAAATTTAGATAAATCAAGTAAAAAACTGTCTAGAAGTGTTGTCTCTTTGCTGTACTAACCCACTATCACTCTGCTATCTTCAGGCCACGTGTTTATTTCTAAATCCTCTGTGGCCAGTGTTATTAAAATCCGCACCAGCGCGTTTTCCTGGGTTTGCAAATGAAGTAATCTTGCTCAGTTTGCTAATTTTTGCTCAGTTTTGGTCCAGACGAAACAGGTTTTAATGTCCACGTAGCATTTGGTTTCTTCTGTTAAAGGCGGTTTTTCGTCCCCACTGTCGCCAAGTGCTGCTCAAGGGCGATTTGTTGAGTTTTTCCTCTACAATAATAATAATATTATTATTAACTAGATCTGACTTTGTAAAGTGTCCTGAGACAACTTTTGTTATAATTCAGCACTATACAAATGCAACTACATTTAATTAAACTGAATTTTAGTGAGATGTTAAAATTTATGCCATCAGCACTAGAAAAGTGGAGTTTGTTGAACTATCAAAGCAGATCATGTAATTTCACATATAACTCATGGTTACCTTATAACGTTATGTGTGTAAAATATGTAACACTGAATGCAGTCGATACTGGCTGGAACATTAGTACTGTATAAGTATTACGGGGAAAAACCATACCTTTGTATAATTTACTTGTTTTACTGTTTTAGGCAGGAAAAAGGAGCTTGTTGCTGCAATGCCAGGAGGGGCAAGGATGAGCGGAGGGAGAAGAGGAGGAGGTACCTCCTGAGTTTGTTTTGATTCTCATTCACTCTAACAGGTTAAGGGTTCGAAGGTGAAAGTTAGAGGGGCTTTAAACAAACGCATCAACCAAGCATGTGACATATGAGATGCCAAACTGTTGTCCCTGTTTTGAATTTGTATAACGTTTCCACTAAAAACTAAAAACAAATTAACAAAATAGTGCTGCATAAATATAACAACTTGACATGCTGTGATAGAACTTTTCAGTCTCTTCTATCTTTTCTTCACTGAGCCACTTTTCTTGTCCGACTTCATCTTCTTCGCATCTTTCTTTCCTTTTGACAGATTCTCGTAAACGTCCTTTCTGCAAAGAGACAAATATGATTAGTTAGCACTGTATTTTTATGGAACATAACGCTAATTAGATAGTTCTGATGGAGAAGTCAATCACAGACACAGAGATTAACGAACTGTGGCGCTAAATGAGAACAATGTAAATAGACCAACTAACGTGCTCCGAGTCGGCACTCTGAGTGGGTCAAAGGTCACAGCGTTTGGAGCTGAATTATCCAGTGTATGTGTTCTGCTTTATCTTTAGTTATTTGTTAACTGGAGCCAAAGAGGTTGTCTAGAATTTGTCTGTACACTGCAAAAAAAGTCTTTCATTTTATTCATCACTCTCAACCATTAATGGATCACGTCAAAATAATTTTTTCTAAATTTATTTTTTAATTTTTAAAATTAATTTGTATTATGCAGGGATGTGTCTAATGAAAAAAATATCCAGTTGAACTATGGGAAATGTAGTCTCTGGGCTTTTTGGTGCTTCATTTTCTTATCTTAATTGTCCATTGTGAATCTGACAGTGTTATAGAAGTGTAATGCTAAATCAGTGGAGCAGTCTTTTCATAGCAACAGAAATGATTATTTCTCTCCTCTACACCAGAAGTGTCACTATCACTCCTACTGGAGCTGAAAATCACAATAGAGAAGCAGAAAAAGTGCAGGTTGCCTTTGATGCTTGCATCTGGTGATGGTTGATTTTGTCCTCACAAACACTGCTAACACACACGCTGAGTCACCACATGGGGAATTAATTAAGCTTTTATAAATTCTGCTGCATTTCCTTTCAGTAGTTTAGTGGCTGTACTGGACTACAAACAGTGCTTCTTTTAAGATAATCCCTATTTGACTTAGATAAATAGGGTCATAGGAATTTTTTTTTCTTCTGCAGTGCAAATTGCAGTGCTGGTGTCCAGCAGCAACTATAACACATCCCCATCTACAAAATAAGACCATCTGCAGCTTCTCCAGAAACTGCTGAAGACAGTGACTAATTCATGTTTTTTTTGTTTTTTTTTAAAGTAGGGCGGTGGTGTGAGGTTTAGAGGAATGTTGTGAATGTGTTAGGGACAGCCAGTTCACACACACAGAGACACACACTCACTTTGAGGGCTTCCTGCTCGCTGGTTGATGTTTGAGTTGCAGATTTCCATACTCAGTTTCAGTTTGCTGGGGAGGGGAAACAGAGACAGTTCAGATATGAGTGATGGATTGTTACTGACACACAGAGGTCATGCCATCGGTTTAATCTGCAGCATGTGGTCAAACATTTTCTGTCTTATGGTCAAAGTTCATTGTGATGAGGTATCATACTGTTGGCATTGAATTAGTCAGCTCTGGTATTCAAATCAGCTGTAAAAAAGTGCAAAGGTCTTCAGACATATATACAGTATATTTCTGTTGTCTTTTCTTTACATGTCTGTGTTTTCCCTGTATGAATTTAAGCCTACTAATACTAATTCCTGGTGTGTTTGAAAGTTTGTCTTCCTGTATTTTCCATCGCTGTTGCTCACCATGGAGGCGTTGTCTTTGACTTTGGTGGCCTGTATGTGGTCAGACACAGCTAGGTAGATGAACTTATATTGGGCTTCTGTCTGCACCATACCAGAGCGCTGCTCTCGTACCATCTGGATGTATTTCGTGATGTCAATATCACAGTCCACACCTACATAAGGAAGTAGTATAGGAAAGCACTGGAGGCAATATAACAAAAAGTAAAATAAACTGTGTATGTGCAATGGTTTTGTCTTTATCCAGTATAATTCTTAACAACTGATTCCTTTAAAACAGTGTTTTTATTTTTTTTTACCTAGAGTGTCAATGAGGTCAATGATCATATCAATCACCACAATCGTGCCTGTCCGACCAATCCCAGCACTGGACAAGTTTAGAGAAGAAACAAAGTTAGTATGTTGTTTAGTAAAACAAAAATTTTACATTGTTAACTGCACAACTTAAACTACAGCTCCACAAGCAGTTCTGTGAGGCTGTACCAAGATCACAACAATGGCAATATAACATGCTGATGTTTAGCAGATATAATGTATAATGTTCAGTCTTAGTTTAGCACGTTAACATGCTAATATTTGCTAACTAGCTAACATGCAAAGTACAGCTGAGGCTGTTGGGAATATTAGTGGTTGTTTAGGTATCTGGTCATAAAACAGATGAAGGGGGTACATGAAAAGTTATTACAATTCATAATGAGGGAGGCATGAATATTAATTAAGAAATATATAAGATGGGAACATCACTCTACCTGCAGCATGTGCAAACTGTGATAGAAGGTCATAACTGTTTATCACACTTTGATGTGGTCTTTTCTCAATCTAAAGGGCCATATGTCAGAAATGTTGCATTAACTGCTGTGTTAAAGGGAAGTATGGGATATCTTATTACTGCTGTGCAGCTTTGTGAACGTAGCTATACCATATACCAAAACACTTATACAAGAGTCATATAATCATTAAACCAGCAAGTTTTAAAAAGCACAAGCGACACAATGAAAATTCCAGAAGGATAAACTCAATTGATTCAAAACCCCTTGTTCAGCTACTAATAATCTTATGACCAATCTTAAACCTGTAGGTATTGTTACCTAATTTACGATTATGAAACCTGATCCTGGTAAACTTAATTTCACAGTGTTACACAAATAAAGATGTCCTCCATACGTTCCAGCACATCACACTTAAAGTTTGAGGATTTATGATCTCTCTGACACTTGGTGTGACCCACCATCTGGAAACCCACTGTTATGTCCTACAAACCCTTTGCACCTCCAAACACATCCTCAGCTTTTAAGGAACTGAGATATTACTGCTTACATCAGACCCAGGGTCAAGGGACATTGACAGGTGGTATTGCATTGCAAAAACATGAACAATTTTCACATCATTTACTGTACCAAGCAATAAACTAAATATTTTACTGCTTCTCACCTTTCAAAAGTGAAAACTTGATAGATTTCTCAGTTTCTCAATTGCTATATCACTGGATTTTAGTCCACATGTGATTTAAAGACATCATTTCTGGGTAATTGTGATGCATTTCAGTCTTTTTCTGATCACTTATTTGAAAACAATCAACAAATTAATCCATAATGATAATAATGGTAGGTTGAAGATCAAATATTGCAGTCATTGTTCTAGGGAATCACATAACTCTATAGTTTAACTTATGCAGGGGTGCTGTTAAACATTTGGGATCATAAACATGTGTCGGTAACAGCTCTAACACTATATCAGTAATCCCTATCATGTTCAGTTCTATCATTAGACTAAGTCTTCAAGCCCTCCACACAACATGAGGTGTTATCTGTCCAGTACCTGCAGTGGATGATCATGGGCCCAGCACCATGATATTCAGCCTGTTTAGCGTTCACTTGGGTGAGGAAACTGAGCACGCCACCTGGCTCCTGAGGGACACCATGGTCGGGCCAGCTGAGGTACTGGTAGTGCCAGACTTCACGAGAGTTTTCCGACTGATAAAGAGTAAGAACACGTACAAAATGTATCACTTTGAAAAATTAAAGTCCTGGTCATGCACATGAGTGACTGTGCGCGGTGAGGTCAGACGGCAGTGTCTGGAGGTTACCTGGTTTACAGGAGCAATCTCCAAAACTCGGACTTTATAATCAGCAGCTTCTCTGTCTGATTTACAGGTCACCACGTAGGGCCCCACCTCCTTGAAGCTATCAAGCTCAGGCCAGTATGGAAAACATTTATTCTGCACAAAAAATAAGGAAATTGCACAAATAAATCATAACTTCATCTGAAAGATCTATTTCATGTACTAGTATCCCTGTTATCATTTATAGCATTTTTAATATGTTGAATTTGACTTCTGCAGTGCAACCATATCACACTAATCTTTGATATCTATTGTACTTTGTGTATTTTAATATGTTCTTATGTATATGATGATTTTATTAGTAGTATGTTATGATGAATGTTATCCTGTCTGTTCTGTTAAACTATGTGCTTATTGAGGCAAATTCCTAAGAAGGTCTGTTGTAATGACAAGTAAATAAACTAATCACAACTTTAACAAAGTCAAAAGACGTGTGAAACGTCAGAGAAATAAAACTATTTAAGTCAGGTCAACTGGGATATATTAATATGAATTTTCCTGTTAGATCCTCTAGCCCCTTTGTCTATGTCTAAGACAGCAGTGGCATCCAAAAAACAGTAGCCCCACTCGTTCAAAGAGTACAAGTAAAACTGACAAATATTAACTACAAAAAAAACTCTCCAAGCCACCATGTAGCACCAGATTAAACCTGCTTCTTGCTGCAAATGTTGGTGTATTTCAGGTCCTGCAGACTATATCCACACATAAAAGGATAAGAACTAACAGCAACTGTTCCAGTGTTTTGCCAAGTTCATCCTCGGTGCAGTTAATAGGTAACAGACCTGGGTCAAAAGCCTCAGCATATATATATTGATCCTGTGCTGAGGTCAAGTCAGTAGTGTTTAGTGGGTATCAAACATTTGAGATGAAAAAGAATCTTGAGATGAGTCAGTGCAGTGGAATAAGGTCTGAAATTTTCAGTAGACCTCAGTTTAAATAAAAGAGCATGAGGCACTGCTGTACTCCTAGATTTCAATTAAAACGTGTACATTTCTTTTTGTTTGTAAATGACAGGAAGAAGAACAAGCTCCCCCTTAGTGAAAATGTAAGTAAAGGCAATATTAACCAGATGTTTTTGCACTTCCTGAGAGTTTCATGCTGTTAGCACTTTCAAAGAAAAAAACATGCTTAGGGACCAAAGCCAAAGTTGTCGTTTTGATACTGACCCGCCCTTTCTCAACCTCTCTTGTCGTCATGACGATCACTCTTGTGTTCTCCTGCCACACCATCTGCCAGAAATCACTGACAGTTTTTTCTAGGCACCCCTGGGCGGCGATGTAAACTTTCTGACCTCCAGACTCCCACAGGAAGTTCTGCAAATACAAAAGAACTGGTGGATCAATACACAAATACGATCAACACAGCAACCCTGATGACTATTAACATGATGAAATGAATGATGATAAAGTGAATATGCGACAGTTTTTTGTTGTGTTTTTCTCAGCTTGTGTTACTGTGAGGCCACAGACTTTGGAGACTTACGCTCACGTAGTTGGCGTTGATGTAATCTGAACCCACAACACTGGGATCAGCGTCCTGCAGGACGACCCTGGTGTCGTCGTCTTGTGGGAGAAAACAAGTGGATAAAGTGAAGACATGTTAGGAGAGAAGGAGAACAGGAACACTCGGTTAAATTTAGCACTGTGGGAATGTGGATTGATTCATAAGATGTGGTTTATTTAGAAAATGATAATAGTAAGATGACTAAAACTCACAAGGAAGAATGTTCTTGTATCTGTTTTTGTGCTTATTCTCAGGTCTTTGACCCTCCTCTCTGCCCTTTTTCACCTTGCCATCCAACTTTTGTAGAGCCTAGTGGGGGAGAGAGACGACTGTGTGAGACCTGTTGTATCCCAGTTCCATATTACATACTAATACTGTTTGATGCTATTGGAACAATTTACTAGAACACGCAAAATTAGCATAGTTCCACTAACAGCAAACGATACAGTAAGTGAATCCAGTGTAACCAGTCAAACTTCACAATGACAAACAAGTTCTTAAAGGATCTTACTGGAGCTGTGTCACCACTAGAGAGATGTGACAGTTAGATGATTAATCAGTGAATTCAGGGGTTTTCAAAGGCATTGCAGGTGATCCCTGGCCATGTATGCAATAATGTAGTTTCACTGTAGGAATCATTATTGTGTAAATTTTATATGTTAAACAAATTTCCATGTATTATTGTTTGTGAATAATCAATTTTGTAAAATGCAGAAAAGCCGTTTTGGGGTTAAAATAGTGCCAACCCGGTCTATCCACTCTATAACAGCTGTCCTCGGGTTGCTCCTTAGAATGATGGTCCCTGGGTCTTAAACACTTTTTATATAACCGATTAATCATTTAAAACATAACATTTTTAAGCAAACATTTCAAACATTCTCTGGTCCCAGTTTCCTGATTGTGAGAATTAGTTGCTTTTCCTGTGTCTTTCATATAATAAAGTGAATATCGTTGGGTCTGGAATAAAACGATCTGTTTTAATCATGGGATCTGGGGAATCATGACAAGCATTTTTCACTATTTTCCTGCCAAAGCAGCTCAGATTCCCCATAATGGCATATAAAAAGATCTGTGGATCGGGTTGATGATCCAGATCACCACCAAAATATAATGAATTGTTCTGTGGGCCATACCCTACCATCAAAACCCATTCATTACATTTTTTTGTGAACAAACCAACAAATGACAGTAAAAACATAACCTCCATGGCAGAGGTAAGTATTTTAATTTCACCACTACAAGTCAATTTTTCCATTCACGCCAAAAATCAACTTAATTTGGACACTTTTCCAAAAAGAACACACTACATACTCAAAAAGCCTGTTGTGAGTTATTGTGTAATATCGCAATTGAACAAGGCTGATGTACTGTATGTCATCACCACAAGATGGTGGTATATTACCTCTGTTCTCCTGTTGCTCACAGTAAGGAAAAATCCTGATATGTAAAAGGATTTGACCACTTCAGTCAATTTGTAATAAGTTTGCCTGATGTATAATTTATTTCTCCCCACTTCAGGTCAACTCTGCGATTCTTACCAGCGTTAGGGAAACTACTTTGAAAATGTGGCTTAGCAAACTATCAATTACTTCACACTGGAAGCAGATAAATTACAGCAAAGCTACTCAAGAGAGAAATGTAGCTTGGTAAACTAAAGTAACTTAGAAGTAGTTCAAACTACTTTGTAAAAAATGATCAATCTGATGATGTACATGTGATACAAAACTATAAGATAAAAAACTCACGTCAGCAAAAATGGTCCTAAAGCAATTCTATTTGGGCTGTTCACACTTATATTTGTGTGTGTGTGTGTGTGTGTGTGTGTGTGTGTGTGTGTGTGTGTTACTTACCAGTCTTGCAACATCTGACGAGTACAAACTTAACTAAAACAGTATTGAACTTGCACCTTTTAGACGGTATGAGCAGCTTGAACACTGGTCTAAATGGGCCCACCTTTCACTACCACTGTACTTCTCAGAGCAGGATCTCTTGTTTATACAAGACATGAGCTGTCTCTGTGTTCTCCAAAAAGGAGGGTCGGGTTTGAGAAGCAATGATAATTTCCTTTCGTGGCCCAGATTTAATTGTAATTGCAATGGTTAACTACACAAAACTGGCAAATTTGTAATTTAACTATTTCAGTCACTACACAACTAGGAATGTAGTTGAACTACCAGCATGTTACTGCAAAATGTAAGCTACTAGTTTAATTCCATGTAGTGCACTACTCCTCAACACTGGTTCTTACACCATTGATAAAGCATCATGGTAAGATACAGTCATAGTAAATATAACCAAGGTCAAGTCTTACATCAAATTCCTCCCAGAAGCCCGCCTTGCTCTTCGCTTCTTCACCCTCCTGCTGCTTTTGTGTTTTCTGATCCAGCTGTTTCACTCTGCTCTCGATGTCTGCTGCATTCACTCTGGTGGAGTAAAATGGCTGAGAAAAGGAGAGGAAAAATTTTATAACACAGATGAAAGAATTAGATGAGCCAGCGAGCGCAATACACAACATCACCAGTTAAGACACACAGAAAAATGTGAGTAATACTTCCTATCTGTGGGCTGCGCGGCTTGTTTTTTAAAATAATTTACAAAGACTTGTTTCTGTTCTTCCCAGCTCACCAGACGTCAATTGATGAACCAGTAAATGCAACTAAATTATAAGATGGATTTTAATTCAGATGTCCTTCTCTATCTGACATGTTTTAGCTACATAGTTTGTGTGAGAAAACCCAGTTCACCTGTTTGAGATGCACCCAGTTCCCAGAGACCTCCTCGATGCCTTTGCTTTTGAAGTAATCCACCAGGTCTGTCAGTGTATCAAACATCTTTGAACCTCCCACGGTATACCTGTCATTCTGGAGACACACAAAACCATACAAATAAACTATAAAGTACTGATCATTTAAACGACCCTATATACTGTAAATGACAACAAAGAATATTTTAATAAAAAGGGTTAAATACTAAATGACTACATGACTATACTCGCTCAAATAGACAATTAGTTTCATGTGTGACTGTTTTTCAACATTTTAAATCAGATAAATGCCACATAAAAAATAATGCCCTCTGTGCTAGAGCTATGAAAGGTTACTGATGTAGTCCCACTCATCTGCTGTCAAATGCAGTACTGTGAAGATTAGAGCCGAGCACAGTTGGAAACTCACCTGATCTTTTCCACGTGCTCATCAAAAGGCCTTTGTGACCCTTCCAGTAAGCTGATGTAAATCTTATGCACTAAACAACAGCTCCAATTTAAATGAGGGCTGAAAGGTGTTTTCTATAAGGTCACCTGCTGCTAAAAATAAAATGCAAAGGCCCTAATGGTGACTCATGACAGAAGGATCCAATCTATGAAAATTAGTCTGAGAGATGGCCATGTGACCTGTTGCTGTACAGTGAATGTACGTACTGTGCAAACACCTAATGGGAGAATACACTCTTTGGCTTCAGATCTTTCCTACTCACAAACAAAACAGCTTTTGTACCCTAGACCAACTGATGATGAAGTAAAACAGTTCCTGATGTTTATGACCGGTAGCATTGTTGAAATATGAGCAAGTCTTTTCTTGCATAAGACAGAGGAAATGAGACTTTAAACTTATTTCAAAGTGCACTGCACAACTTTGGGAATACCCCTCTGTGTTTTTAAGGGATATGAATCTGTTTCAGGGGCTAATTCTGTATATTTAAAGAGCAAGACTGAGCAAAAACGACTCCTAGTTTCATACATGTGTTACCTTGTATGCCACACACACACACACACCTGGCACATTATAATGATGTGGGTGACCCTTTTCCCCCCTGTTTTGCTTCTCTCGTCTGTCAGAACAGACAGGACAAAGTCTCCAGGTTTGGACAGTGACTCTCTGACCAGGAAGGTCCCCGGCTCGTCTCGTGTAACGAGGAGCTTCTCTGCATTTGGCCCAGGCAGGTGGCCATGGTACCACCTGAGAGAACAACACGTATTTCATGATGCAGACGCTGTGATGTGCACAGATGTTTAAATATATTCATAAACAGTTAACCAAAACAGCTGCTGTCTCATCTAAATATTGCATGTAACTGTTAAATATGTTCTGGCTTTGCACACATACGTAGCAACTGAACACCACAACATCCTTCAACTCATTTTTTCTTTTTTTCTATATGTGAGCAAAGCATGTTTGGGCTGTGAATGCGCTATAAATGATGTGCGTTAATCTATTAATGGCTAGGCGGTTGTCAGACATACACTGATGTCGTCCACTGGACTGCTGTGCAAACTACACAGTGAGTAGTAATAGAAAGCCACAACAGAATAAGATGCATTATGTAGACAGATAAAAACAGAATGTACAGATGTTGCTGTGCAGGTTATATTTCTGTCACCACTGTACTCTCTGTGTGTTTGTGGTGTGTGAATGAGTGAATGCACAGCCGGCTGGGCCGGGACATGACTTAATTTTAGGCACAGTTCTCGATTTCTTCTTCTAAACTTCCTGCTTTGCGGTCGGAAAATTTCTGGTGACAGATTTCGTGGCTGAAGAGACCAAACTATTTAAAGACTGAGCCCATCCTTTCAATACCCAACATCCACAAGCCCACCACACTCTGTGCTATTTATGCTTTTTGCACAAACTTTTAATGATTCAGTTTTATGGTTTTCTTACTTGTCAAATCATTGTATGTTTTTACAGAAACAGAAATTAGTAGCCACCTGGTGCTTTTTAATTTCAGCAGGTTGCATGATGCACCTGGAGCCAAACAGTGATGGTGTCCGTGCATTTTTTTTAGAAGTTTTCAAAGACCCGCATGTGCAGAGGAATAACTGACAGACAACTGCACAGTAAATGGACATATTTACTACACTTGTGGTTAAATTGATGTATTAAACAGACTACCGGTGGAACAAGCCTGGCTGCAATCATGTTTGTAACCGTGATTAATCACATGCAATAATACCATCAACTTAATGACCATCATTTGTTCTCTTTTCTGAGAAGCTATCAGCTAGATATATGAAAAGAGTCATAAAAGGACAACATCACACAGTGACCCACTGAGGTGTGTGCAATCATATTTCACTAAGATGAGAAACTGAGATGAGAAAAAAGATTCTATGAGATGAGGAAGACAGAGAGTGAACAAGAACATGATAGAGTGTGCAATAGAGGAAGACAAGTAGGGTCTGGCCATTGGTTTCAAAAGTGTCAAAACTTAAAGTTTCCAACCGCAGCAACAAAAGGGAAGTTAGACAACTGACAGAGAGAGAAGGACGGGGGGGGGATGTGAAGTACACAGTCACAAACACACACAGCAGATAGTGTCCTCCTTTACTCATAAAAGGAGTGGAACTGTATGAGTTTACCACTACTAGTTGGACATGAACCTACTTTAAGCAGCCTACAGTTGAATAATGTTTCCAGCTGGGAGAAAAACTCCCCCTCCAGCAGCAATGTAATGGAATTCAGATGTACACTGTAGGCAGAGTTAAGTCAAAACACTAATATTAATTCTTATTCTGGAACCTGGACTTGACAGCAAACTGCAAATATATCAAGATTTTTATCAAATTCACAGCAGAAGTATGGAGGAGGCACACAGATACAGACATTAGAAAATACCTGCTACTTAGCAAACAGATGCACTTAGTAAAATCAGTAAAATGAAAATAACAGAAAACAGGAGTACCCGCTGTTGCAAGTAAATATACTGTAGTTAAATATAAGATCTTAATCTGCTAAACAGCTAGCAACTACTGCTGACAGCTGCAGAAAATGCACTGAAGTCAAAAGCACTATTTCATTTTTGGGACAATGGGACTCATGGATGATAAGTACTGATGGAAATGTTCAAATGAAGCAGTTGCTTCCACTTCACTTAATGTAGGAATGTATGAACCAAGAAATCAAAAATAGAGTGGTGCATGAAGAATTTGGACTTTCACTGAAAGGCTTTACTGGCTCTTGAAAGAAAATGCGCCGTCTCCTGTGTGTTGTATTTATGTTGTCGTTTACTTGTATAGTTTTCTGTTTTTTGATTTATCTGAAGTAAAGGTTTGCTCTGTTACTTGTTCGCCGCTGATTTTGTCTGGCGTGGTTGATAAAAAATGCATTTTGCTTATCGTTACCCCACTTTGGTGTTTGATGTAGAAAGACAAATGTGTGAAGTCTGACACCAGAAACTGTTGCCACATTCATCTGCCTAAAGCAGAAGGGTTCTCTGTCCTTACTCTGAGCGTAAGGCGTGTATGTATGAGCAGGAGTTTGTGATATGAAATGTGGAAACCTCTGATACCCAAACACTGGGGATGGACTACAGTGAAGTCATCAGAGCAACACTTAGTCCCACTGTTTAGCATTTAATAAATGGCTTGTAACACACTATAATGTAGTCAGAAGTAGATATATGCATTTATTAATGTATCCCTCAGCAACTATAACTCCTCCTGTCATCACTCACGTATAAACAGATAATATATGACCATACAGTAAAACACAGTTGTAATAATATAAACTAGCAATGAATAGGAGAAGCTATAACTGTTGACAAATACTGAACTTAAAAAATAACTAAAAATGTCACTTTATCTGAATATTATATAGTGTGTTATAAACCTTTTGCTAAATGTTTATGAACTGCTCTTGAATGCTAAACGTGTCTTCCATGAAATGGAAGCACAGTGGTACTTTAGTAAAGAGCAGGTGTACGCTGACACTGCTCACATTAAATCCATGAGCAGCAGCTATGAGGCAGGTGTAGGAATGAAGCCCGTGGGCTCTCTGTGTCTGTCTGAGTGTTCATTTTCACTGACTCACATTCAGACAAACAAAGCTGCGATTAGACCTAAATTAGTTAAAAGTGGCTTCAGATAAAAAGCCTTCCCCAGAGGAAAACATTAAAACCACATGGACTATCAAACCTACAAATGACACTCATTACTCCCAGTAAGTGAAAAACACCCTGCTTGTCACAGCTGACTTTAGTCAACTTACCCACACTATTACATCTAACTAAAGAGTGTAGGCAGCCTAGAGAAGTGAGCGTGTTCCACATTAAGCTACTGGGGCTTAAACAGTGAGTGTGGAGGTTCACAGACCTCTCTGTGGTGGGGTCGGAACAGTTGACGGGGTATTTGAGATCGATGGTGGTGCCATCCTTGTCCTGCAGCATGCCGTTCTCTGCTGTGTAGTATTCCACCAGCTCTGACAGGGTGGCAAACGTCTCTCCGCCATACAGGTCATAGTAATCTCCTGTGTTTTGGATCCGGATGTGGGTCACCGAATCACCCACCCTGAGGGAAAAAACAACCGTCAGGCCACACCAATTAACCGTCATTCTTCCTGGACAAAATAACCAAGTGATGCGAGTAGAGAAAATATCTCTATCTCAGGAGTTTTTAAGCTTTTAGATGGAAACGTTTTAACAGCACAATAATATTTGTTCAGCATTTATTTGTTTCAAAAGAAAAAAAATTGCATGAAATCTTTAAATGTTCCTTCATAAATCAGCTACAAAGAATGAAGCAGTTATGTAGCTGACTGGGGTTTTCATCAGAATAATACAAGAGGTTTCCTGAAGTTGGGTTTCCCTTTTTATTTTGGACCAGGTATCTACATTTTTGTATGTAGCTTCTAAAAATACCTTGGTATGAATGTAAATTGTTAGCAAAATCCAGCAACAGCTCTCAGATGACATTCTTCTGGTTTAGAGGACTCAGCTCTTTTCTTGGTTTCGGGGCATTTGGATGTGTGTGTGACATTAATAAGACTTTCAAAAAGCAGACACTTTCATGCAATCTAAAGGCTGCAGTCCACCTGATTTGTACTGTATGAAAACTTGTGAGCATAAAAAGATGTAAGAACTACTCAAACAGAGAAAAGCACTAGTGTTTTTTTTAAATAATGAAACAATAGTGGGAGTAGTGTGGGTATGAAGGGCTACTGTTTCTTTCTTTGTTATCTACAATAAAAGAACATCAGTAAAACTTTCATCGTATAGCACTACAGACGGCAGTACGGTGATTAGTAACGTAGTTTTTATACTGCACATTCATGCAATCGGGGTCAGCACATTGACCAACATGGCTGCATGCTTGTAAGTCCTGCTTATGGAAAAAAAGGAAACAGCAATGATCACAATTTACTGTACATCTATATGTCTGCCTGTATTAGATTTTTTCAGTAGTGTGTAAATTGTCATTCCCTTCTTTCATATTGTGAATCATATTAACTCAATAACAATTTATTTGTACAATTGTATGTGTTAAAACATTTATAAATACAGTTTTACTGTGATGAATTTAGGAAGTACATTAAAAAAAAACATCAGCACATCACAGTCCTGCATTATCCTCAGGGTGTCCGGAGATGAACCATCCACGTGCTGTGAAAATCTGTAGGCTCTGTATAAATGTATTTTCTGCTTTATGGTTTGTTAAGTGGAAGAGCCACAACACACTTCTAAACAAAAAGGAAAGTAGGATTTCTCCTCAGCTGTGCAGTTAGAAAAGTATAAGAGGGCTCTGGGGTGTTTTTTTTTCAAGCATTATTACCTGACAGACAGAGAGAAATCTCCCGCATTCTTCTTGCTGGGTCGAGCCAAGAAGCTGCCATGACTGCCTCGAGTCTTCAGAATTTCCTCGGCCTGCTGGCCTGTGATGCCTCTATGGAACCACCTGCATTAACACACATACATATACAGTATATACACAGTAAAAACGCATGAATATAACTGTGCCCATATCAGCTTCAGGTTTCAAATTTTAAGAAGATTTGCATCATAAATACAAACACATGGCATAATGTCCCAGTATCACTTCCTCACAACATTTACCTACGAGCACAGTGAATGCAAACCTATTTTATAAACACATTATTTCACCAGACTAAATTTCATGTGTGAATTCATGGCAGCAGAGGCAGGTTTCACCACGGTCTGGTGGAAAATGTATTCCACCAGTAGTCGACTAACAGAAAATGATCAATGACCATTCTGAGAGTTATATTTAATATCTGCTGGTTACACTGTCGCGAATGTAAGCTTTTGTTTTTTCGATTTGTTTGTTAGTTTTTATGGACAACCTTTGAGAACCAGGTTTATAACATTACTCTGGTGTCTGGTAACTTGTAACAGACATCCTTCAGATCAAACAAGTAACTGATCAATCTATAGTAAAATTGATACTGAAACAAAATGTTAATTGCGTTCCTAGTTCAGTCCATACGATTTTTATCCCTCATTATGAGCCTTGTTCATTATTCTGCTTAATGTGTATAAAGGAACTGCTCTGTCTGTAGACATACAGAAGCATCGTTCAATGAACTTGTAACATCTCGACACCGTTAGCACCAGCTCACCTCAAAACACTAGAATCCAAAAAACCCAGTAGAGCTCTGGTTTTAAAGCCCTTTCAGCAAGTCACTTGGCTTTACATAACATCAGGTCAGATTAAATATCTAACATTTTATTTCCTGGAGCCCTTTAAGAATGGGAAAAATGTGTTGTAGTCAACATCTTTCATTCACCCGAAGGGGACACCGGAACAAGAAACCATCACCCAAATGTTCAGTTACCTATCATCTATTTCTCATTGTAATAGCTTTGTTACAAACCAGTCTTCAAATTATTAATTATTCAACATTTTTAATAATACTGCTTCATAAAACGGTGTCTTCAATACTGAGCTATAGTAGCAGGATTAACATGTTATGGAACTTTATGTGTGGTGAATCCTGCGTTACACTGAGTTTGTACTTGAATGCATTTCCCCCTTTAACTCCAGAGCGACAAGAGACTTTTCAGCAAAAGATTTGAACTGGGAAAGAAAGAAAGAAAGAAGCATCAGCTCAAGGCAAAGGGGACCTGAATATTCAGGAGAGAAAATAAAGTCCATTCTCACTCAACGACTAAACTCAAACATCATTTATGATACATTTTCTTCACGACGCATCACAAAGCACATGATAGAGGAACAGAACAAGTCAGCAGCTGGGGAAAGACAGTGAAGGAGGAATGGAAACACAGAAGTTGTCATCAGGCCTTGAGAAAACAGAAACCACAGCCAGAGTTGAAGAACGGAGCGTTACAGCGTCCAGTCGAGGACTGACTCACCGAACCATGTTGGCTCTTCACTTCTTCTGGGACCAAAGCAAAGGAGAGTGACAGGTGGAGAGTCACCCGAACATGCAAGACACAAAAGCATCAGCAGGGTGTTTTTTAATCTCTAGTTTTATAAAGAACAAGTCTGTCTGGTTCCTCACTTTACAGGGCTATACTCGCTCAAATAGAGAATAAGTCACTGTCATCCTCATGCTCTTTACTCGACCAACAGCCTTCTTTTAGATCAAAACCATCAAGTTGTATTTCTCACTGACTAAACAACACCTACCTGCTCTCTAGGCTTCCCTCCACCCATTTCTCTTCCTATTCAACCCCTCTCTGTCCAAATAAGAAAGCAGGTAGACACTTACCCTTGTCAGCTGCCTCTGACAACAACTGGCAGTTGCCAAGAAACTCAAGTTGTATAAGTCTCTCTCCCCTCCTTCTCTGTCGTTCTTTCTCTCTCCTTCCTTCCTTTTTATGTCCCCTTTCGCAAAATAGTGAAAGTAACACGAACTAAAATAGCCGACAAGCCGGAATTCCTGCAACGGGTGCACTTGTGTTTGGTTTTGTTGTTGTTTTCTTTTTAAATTTAAATTAAACCACGACAAAAACTCATCATATTTAAGAGCAAAGTAGGTTTCAGCTCTGGGAATGTGCTCTCTGACACTCGGCTGTCTGTGCAGATATCGATGAAAAGAGCATCAGATGGGTCATTTCTGTTCCATTCATCGGTGTGTCACAAGCAGAAGCAGTTGTCCAGTTATTCCAATTTGGTTGCAGGAATAAATTAAAAAAAAAAATCCATAAAGCACTGGGTTTGAGCTTCTAGTACATTTTCAAAACTGTCAGCGCTTTGTCTCTCCCTCCTTTAGTGGCAAAGCTTCCCCCTGTGCCTGCCACCCATCAGCTTGTTCTTTACTTCCAGGTGTGCATGGTTGCAACACACAAAGGTCAGAGTCACACTGCACTTCCTTATTTGTTATTTGTAGTTGAACCTTCCCCCCACTAATGTGTGTGTGTTCTTGTACTTACAACATAGTTGTTTTTTTGCTACAGAGCGAGGACATTTTGGCCGGTCCTCACTATCTGAAACAACTTTTTGAGGCTTAAGACTTGGTTTTATGGTTCTGGTTAGAATTAGGTTTATAGTTAAGGTTAGGCAATTAGTTCTGATAGATCAGGGTAAGGGTTAGGGAATGCATTGTGTCAGTGAGTGTCCTCATTGAAGTACAAATATGTATTTGCGAGTGTGTGTGCGAGTGTGTGTGTGTGTGTGTGTGTGTGTGCGCGCGCGCGCATGTGTGCTTTTTTTAGAGTTTGAACTACTTGCCACATTGAACTTGTTTCATTATCACACCACTGAGGCAATAGCTCAAAAACTACAACACACAACTGGCATAAAGCAGATCATCTAGACTTAAGCATTTAAATTTTTCCCCTGATATAAGAAGCATGTAGAAGCTTGAGAGAGAGACACTGGTTTGCTCATAATGCAAAACAAATGCACATACACCTGCACCATATAAATTTTTCCAAGCTGCAAAACAAAAGGGTAGTTACATGTAACTTGCAAATCATGCTACCCTACTAGAGGTTTGAGAGGACAAATATGAATCAATATACAAGATGTCAGTTCTTCTACTGTGAAAAACATTTTCACTGGTGAACTATGTTGATTTTAGTTTTGGTACAAATGTGAAAAGAGTAGATCAAAACTGACACAGTGTTTGTACTTTGGGAAAAACCTAATATGTGCAGAATACTGCAGCGCGACCTCACCCTCTGCACACACACACACACACACACACACACACACACACACACACACACACATGTGCACAGAACGCTGCAGGTGTCATTCATGGTGGTTAATGCCAACTACTGCAGCTTGCTTAACTCTCATCACAGGCGCTCATGTTTAACAGACACAGTTTCACGTTGGAGGATGAATGCAGCAGTGTGACAAATGGCACTTTTTTTTTTCTCAGCCTCAGAGTCGCAGTACAGATGTTTCCTAGATTTGGTCATTCTTTTGAGTGTTGTAATGCATCAGGCTGTTGCAATGCGTCGTACTTTTTCTCTTCAGAGACATTTATTATACACATTCTGTTGTTTCCTTCCTGTGTGAACCTGCCAGTATGTTATGATATTATTAGTGCTGAAATAATTAGTTGACCAATTTGAGGGTTTCTTCCTTTTTCTGTCTTATCTTCGTATAATGAAAATCTTTGGGTTTGGCACTGGTGGGCAACATTTCTTAGCCTTTGTATTTGTTTGTTTTTTGCATTTTGGGTGCATTTCCCCCAAAGGTTGCCTTGAGCATAGTTGTTTAGTTCATTTAGACAATTTGAATTTGTCTCCTAACAGTAATCCCAACGTTTTAAAGATATTTATACCCTGGTAGCTATCTGTTTAATATTTCTGGGTGTAGTCACTGCAGATGCTTTATGGCATTATTACATTTTAGCAACAATGTTATGATTTAAGCCAAAAAAATGATTTAATGAAACATTTAATAAATATTACTCGTATCAAAATGCACAGATGACTGATACATGAGCCAATTTTTTTTCCACCACTGCAAAGGAGAAAATAGTGAATACACTACAATGATACTAAATTGTTTTTAAAAGATGTTTAGATCCGTATCCAGATCTGCTTCCCTCCAGAGAGTGAAGTCTGGGAGGCTCTTCTTGTACTACTACCCCCGCGACCCGGTCTCGGGTAGAGTGGACGAAGACGGATGGATGGATCCAGATCTGCATTACTTATTTCTCAGCCTGTGGCCTAGTTTCATTATAATGTACTGACATGTTTTTGAAATAACTTGCTAACCAGCAGACAAACCAAACAATAATATAGCATCCCCAGAGAAGGTCTGAATGAATAACAGAATGAAGATACATTTAAAGGGACAAAAAACATACACAGTAACATTGCGAAGAAGCAAAGATAACACCAGAACATGCCAAACACATAAGCATTTTACCTTATTAATTACTTTGAACAAACACTAACCTACAAGACATGGTTTGGCCTGCTCCTCTCTGCACTCGGGGTCACTTGCAGTCTGAACTCGTTCACACCAGGAAGTGATGGGCCGACTCCAGCCTGTCCTTTGTGTTGTAGTCTGAGATGATATTCAGTACTGCTTTACCTCCAAGCAGAATAAAACTCAGAGAGTCAGGTTACATGAGCAAAGACGTATTTCTGAATCCAGGTTAACTCCCCTTACTCCTACTTCCTGTTTTCCTCACTTGCACCCAGCCTGGATTATGTTTAGCCTCCAACTCTCTCTCTGTTTCTCTCTCATGATATCAGGCTCCATTACAACCCCGGCCAAACCCCCTGCCCCCAGTAATTTACTCTTAATTTTCCTAATTACCCAACTATCTCTGGGAGAAAATGTGCCTGTTCCTGCCCCTTCTTCTTTTGCTCTTCCTGTCGCAACCTCTTCCATGCACAGATTCTCCTTATGATTTTCCATCCCTGTTGCAAATCAACATTTGCATTCATGTAAATTCTACCTCACTGTATATGTGTGTTTATATGTGAGTGAAGGCCTGATCGTAAGAAACTAGCAGGAAGGAGCTAAAACCTGCTTGGCAGCAAACAGGAACAAAGTTAAGCTTAAAGAGAAATAAAAGGAACAACAAACAGGGGTGGGGGATGAGAAGGCTGGCAGGAATATGTAAAGTACATCACAAGAGCCATTATGTTCTACTAAACTGGTATCAGCACTCACAGAATGATGACCTACTTAAGCAAATGGTGGCTACAAAGAAAACCTAAGTGGAAATTTTACAAATGCAGGTGTCACCACTGGTTTGATGTATATAAGTAAATGATGTGAATCTTTTGCTACGGCCATTACAACCATCAGATTCAATCCAGCTGTGAAAGACACACGGACCAGTGTGTTACACAACACTCTCAACAACCAACATTAAGACATCAAATGAGGGAGTATCTTTCAGAAGAATGATTCAGAGTTGTCCAGTAGAGTTCCAGAGACTTGGAGGAGCACTGGAGTTGCTCTGGCAGTTAAACTACAGCATTTTACTAAAACATTTCATGTTGTTTTTCCCTTATATTTGTTACTCTTTATTTTTTCTTAGAAACAAGTCTGCGGTGTCTGTGTGAAGATGGACTGTGTCACAGAGGTGCATTGAGCTAAATGCTAATTCAGTAACAAGGTCACAAGGCCAATGTTAGGCTAAGCATGTCAGCAAGTTAAGGTTTACTAAACAGCACTAAACCCAAAGTGCAGCGGAGACTAATAGGAACGTCATTTTTTCTGTTACCAAACCAAATAGTTTTTGACATTTTACTAAAACCCACATGTCGGCCTCAGAGTGGCGCTGTCTTCTTACAGCATACAGTGATTTTTTTCAGTACGATCCTAGTTTTGGATTATTGATTACAGAGGAAAAGTCAGGGGATCACCAAAGACAGTATTAGTACAATGAATGTCTGAACAGTTGCAGCTGACTGACCTACACTCAGTGGGCAGTTTATTAGCTACACCGAGCTAAAACTGATGCAGTCTAATACAATAGTCCTGCAATAAATGTTGTTTGTGCTAAAATTTCTCTGGACAGGTACTGATTCAACTGTATGGGTGCTGCGGTTGAACAGTATTGCATTCTACTGAGAGGTGTTTATTATTTTATCTGTCCCATTTGTACCAAAGACACAGAAACAGAAACTCTATAAGGCAGCACAAGCTACATCCTCTAAAATGACAACAGCTGAATCGACACTTCTCCAAAACAGTTTGAACATTATCACCTTCAAAAAGGGAGGATTCATTGCAGGACTGTTGTGTTATACTGCATCAGTTTTAGCTTGGTCTCCTTGAACTGTGAGTGCACAATGTTGTTTCTAAAACCACAAGGCTTGGTTAAAAACAGAAGTACTTTCCAAAAATACATATTATCCTCTAAAAATTACAAAAGCTTAATAAGATGTTTACTTTTTTATTGTAGTCCATAAAAACAGACAGCAAAGATAAAAACAACAAGGTGGTAACCATAACCATAATAGCATAACAATAGACACTAAGGAATTAAATTAAATTAAGACTGACACTGTTCTCTAAACCATCCCACGTACCTAGAAGCTGTGGAGCTATCACGTGTCTGTATTTCAGAGATAACACAAGAGTGTTTCCAGGGAGCAAATCTGTGATGCAGTCAGGAATGTCAAGGTCCTGCACAAAGAGCTGACCCCAGATCAGGTCACCTGCCAAGACAGGTGGATGTTTGGGATGGAAGGTAAGAGGTAACAGATGTGACTGATAGAAAAGTGATAGCAACAGTGTCTGGGCATTCTGCAGTAGAGATGCACATCAATATGCCCTGTTTATACATATATACAGGAAACAGACATACACACTCTCTCCATTCACATACAGGTGAGAACATTAAAGATGAGGAAAAAAAAATCCAATTTCACAATTTTCTAAAAGGTGAAAACGGGCACTGTAAAACCCCTTGAATTCTTTAATAATTCAAAAGTCACCACAAAGCACCAGTATGTTCCACACATGCTGCTTTTTCTCAATCTAGCCTCTTCAACTTCATGATACAAATAGTTACATACATGTTTGACCCTGCTGTAAAGACAGAACAGTACAGTGGAGCTGCCCCGAGTTCAGTCACAACGACAGTGCTCCAGTTAGAGGAGTTAAATCTGAATTCCAGTGGAGGAGAAAGATTCTAGCATACCACAGAAAGAGCTGATTCTTCCATTCACTCCCATCCTACATCTACAGTCCCAGTCAATAGAAATCAATGTCCCGAAGTACAGCTGATGCTCTTCTGAGTCCGGAGATGGGTCGTGGGTGCAGAGCGAGGAGGACTAACCTGACTGTGCTGTACATGGTGGCTAAGGGGGGAGGACGTCTGCTACATGGCGGTGAGGGCGAATGGCCTTTGTCAGTGAGCATTAAGCGTTCGAGGTGATTGATTAGCGAGGCACCTGCATCTGCTGTGAGGTCTGTGACTGGTTCTGAGCGGCGACGTCGGGGCCACGGCTGGCTAGTCGGCTGAGGATGTTCCTCTCGGACATCTGCAGCCGCACAGCGACCGGGGGTATCCTGGCAATGGTTGCTGGGAGACGTGTGACGTCTGCCTTCATGTCACTCAGGAGTTCCTCAAGCTGTTTGAGAACTGGGAATACAAAATGGAAATGCGTTATGAACACCGGTTGACAGTCTAAATAAGGGACTGTTTTAGTTTGTTGCTCAGTTTTGTGTTTGGTGAAATTCAGAGGTTCAAAACTGCCATTTTTTTTTTGAGTTAACCTACAATTGTCCAGATCTCACCTTGTGAAATTAAGTCATATGGTGGGGGAAAGCAGCAGGGCAGAGCATCTCTCCCTTTCTGCTGCTTGCATTAATTAAAAAAAACAACAAAAAAAACAAACAAAAAAAAAAACATGAATATTAACAATCTGCATTTCTTGAATTCCCTTTTTCTTAAACTGGCCAGACACTGGAGAGCCTCATGATCCCATGTGCCAAAGCCAACCAGACTCAACCATGTGCACCATGAAGGCAGCGAATTAATTCTCTCATTTAAAAGTCAGTCTAAACAAGACACACACTGCCACTGATCCACATGAGAGCCAAATCAGTCGCTCCACAAACTCTTAAGTCATTTTTCAGGCTTTGTTGTTTTATATAATTATTATGGACCACATACCTTTAGGTTGCTTGGACAAAATTAAGACATGTGAAGATGTCACCTTAGACTGTAGGATAATATGATGGATATGTTCACTATTCTGACCATTCTAAATTCAGTGATTAATTAGTGAATCAAGAAAATAATCAGCAGATAGAAAGATGTGTGAGGGGTAATGAAAATCTGCCCTTGATCGAACACGGAAGCTGTGTAACCATGATGCTGTACCTCATGTTTGCTGCTAGTTACATTAGCAGCTATAAAGTGAAATATTTTTGTTTACACAACCACTCTATTTTTTATATTGCTGATACTATAAATATATTAATGTAACACACTCTCTCCCTCTCTCTCTCACACACTTTTGCAAACACAAACATATTCAGGAGGCTCTTACAGAAATGAAGCCGCTGCCTCAGACAGACTTGTCATGATTCAAACTTAAGAAATATTGTTGTGAGATGAAGAGTACAGAATATGTAAAACAGTTAGCATCAAATAACTGGTCCATTTCTGTGGAAAAAACAATGGGAGACATTATCCTGTCATAATGCAATGTTTTTTTTACCTGCTGTGTCAAAAAGGTTGCCCCTTTTGTAAATACACTATTTGTGCTGATTGGAGAATTGTTGTTGCTTTTTTTCATAGCAATGTCCTCACTAATGATGTACAACTCCTTTGACTACTAACAGACTAGTAACTTATTTTCTCATTTCTAATTAAAAAGGATCACAAGTGAACCCTCTCTATACCTACTGTATCTATACCTTCCATTTGCTTTACCTTTATGCAGCACTGCATTGGCAGGCTTGTTTCCAGACATGGACTCCTTGCTGAGGTGCTGGTGGGACTCGGCAAGACACTCCACTTCGCTGAAGCGAGTGTTGAGGGCCATGGAGGGGTGGGCTGGGTCCTCTGTCATGTTCAGGTAGGCCGCCCTGCGCAACTGCTCCTCAATCACCAGTGCCTGTTCCAGTAACTGAACAGGAAACACAGACAGTAAATCTTGAGTGACCATGACAGAGACACACAGACATACAGTAGGGGAACAGTGAGTGTCCAGTCCACCTTAAACCTGCGAGCCAGAAATTTGTTCTTGATCTCCAGGAAATTTCCTCTGCTCATCTCCCCTTTGAAGGGCTCGTTGAGGATGGCAAACCTGACATCGTTCTGCACATCCTGCCACCGGGCGTACCCGTGTCTGGGAGAGAAAGACGCTGGGGTCAAGTGTAACAACATTATAATTTCATGAGGATCATCCAGTTAGGACGAAGATGCTATGTGGTACACTTTCAACAAATATCCTTGTCCTACATTTATTTTTCAGTGAATATTCATGAAGCTAAACTCATTTGATCTCAGACAAGTATTAAGGACAATAAAGTCATATTTTTGCACAAGGATAACTTTACAATTAAGAAGCTTAGACAAGTAAAGATGTTTACTACAAAGATTCCTAAATGTAAAAATTCATGTTAACCTTCTTCTCTTTTGGAAAAAGGTCTAACTGCACGACCTGGCCTGAGTCGTTGGGGTTTCATCATCTGAATGGAACAGACCCCTTAATAATTCTTAATCTATGCAGACACCTCATTCTTATTACAGAAAACCACTGCTGAAAGGATACTGTATGATGCCAGCCAGCAGCCAGTAGTCATGGCGACGGTGCCAAATTTCAAAGGTCTTCTTGGTAACAGTGGCTGCCCGCTCTTCATTCTGCCAGAGAGAGTGAAGCTCTGGAAAGGGAGGCAGAAAGGTCAAAAGACAGAAATGAAAGAGAAAAAAGAAAAGAGAGAAACAAACTGTGTGTGTGTCCACCTGTGAATCCGCCATCAGCAATGTTGAACATGAACCTCTGCTTGGTGGCTTTCTTCTTCTCCTCGCTGATGTTAACAACTGGCACAGCTATTCCTCCATCTTTGGTGTTCTCCCCATTCTGCAGTTTGCCAGACTCGTCTGTTTTCACACCGTCCTTCTCCTCTTTTTGCTCTGTAAAAAACAGAACAGAAATATGCCAGCTTTGCATGTAAAGAGAAACAAAATGTTACCAACCTGAAATACCCTCCCAGTCAATACAGACACAGTTTGGCATTTTATTTTTTTAAGCATTTTATGTCTATTAGAGTGTTGACAGTAGAGAGATGACAGGAGATAAAAAGAGAGAGAAATGTAATAAAGAACCCTGGCTAAATTCAAAACTGAGCCGTAAACCTTAATCTAACAGTGTGTGCAGATAAGTGTAGCACTGAATTATGACACCAGTAACACAGTGGAAATCTTGTTGGTTATATTCACATACAGAATTTATCTTTTAAAGTTACTGTTACTTTTAAAGTAAAGTTTATGTATGCACCTTTCTTCTCCTCTGTAGGTGAAATAATGGCCATCTTTTCATCTTTGCTGTCCTCAGCTGAAATGGGAAAAGCCCAGTTAGAATCACAGACTGGAAAATGGGCTATTTGAAAACAGTATTTCTCATCATCTATCTCACCTTTAGATTTGTCCTCTTCTGAATCCATCTTGCCCTCTGAGCCCTCACCCTTGACCTCAGTGACAGTATCCTTCTCCATCTCTGAAGTCTTGTCTTTCTCATCTTTCTCTTTGCTCACATCTTCAGCCTCCTTCTCCTTCCCTTCATCTCCAGGTTCCTTCTCTTTCTCCTCCTTTCCTGAAGCAGGGTTGAGCTCTCCTTTCTTTTCAAGTACAGGGGATTTGTCAGACTCGTCTGGGATTTCAATGATCTAGGGGAGAATTGGGCAAAATCAAATTTTAAAACATCTGACTACAAATTCCAGAATAATGCTGCTGTTTTAATTTTAAACAATATTAACAAAGATATGAAAGCAGACTACATGTACCTCTGGGTCATCTGCTTTCTTGCCTCCTTTGGCCTCCTCACCCTCCTTCTTCACATCTTCCTTGTCATCTGATTTGGACAAATCCTCTGTAAAACAAAAGAAATCAGTCATGCAAACAGTCTCAGTTATGGTTATCCCTAAAAAATGGCCAGTTATTAGTTGCTTCATGTTTTTTACAGACGTATCCGCAAGAGGGTGTCAGAGATTAAACTGATAAGGTGAATATTTATTTGGGCCTGAACAAAGAATTAATGAAGAAAATAAGAATATTTTCCAATGCAAAATACAGAAACTAACAACTTCCAGCTTTATTTCAGGGTTACAATGTCAATCAAGACCTAAAGTTAGAGTTAAGTTTCAGTCGGAGTCAAAGTTGAGCTTAGGAATGTGGTGCTGAGGTTAGGCCTAAGTGGAAACAGAAATGCATGTCATTTGTCAAAGGATCTGCACAAAGACAGTGTTACAACATACAGTATGTGTATGAGGGTTACCACTGCAGAAGAGATGGCTCTTAAGACTGAAATATGGAGATAAAATACTATCAAAATTGTTACAAATGCGTATTTAACGTTTTGTCTGCAACAAGCGATTTGTGTGTGTGTATGTGTCATGAGGATCACAAATGCGTGCTGCGAAATCTGCACGTATAAAGC